ATTCCTTGGTGGTTATGCTTTTGAGTTGTTTGTGAGTGTAATATTCTTAACGAAGTAAACTAATCGATCACTAGCAAACAAATTAAACGCATGCATGGTTTTAAAAAACGTGTCATGTTTATCCCCCAAAACAAAAATGGTGAATCTGAGGGGAAAATTGAGATAAAAAAAGTTGCCACAAAGATTTTAAGAAAACTTTTTTTAAAAAATTTCTACTTAACCAAATTCTAATTAAGAGTATAATTACATATGTAAAAGTTATTAGTATCTCAATACTTTGTAAAAAGTAGTTATGCTAAATTGTAAAAAAAAATAATTATATTTTGTATCTAAAATTTTGATAATTTTTTTAATATAAACAAATTATTTATTTTAAAATAATAAAGGTTTTATAAAATGCTTTATATTTTAACACATTCTAAAATTAAAGAGAAAGAGAGAAAGAAGAAAAAATTTTTTTTTTTTATTTGATCTATACTCTCATGTATCTTTTAGTGTAAGAAGAAATTAAGGTTTCACCGTTTTGAAAAGAAAAATCTTTTTTGAAAAATATAAAATTGAAAGTAAGAAAAGTTAAAATAGAAAATTGAAAGTAAATTTTTTTTCTAAGATATATTAAAATCAAAGTAGATAATTTTCGTGGTACCTTATAGATTAAAAAGTTAATTTATGTTTTTTCATGTAAAATTAAAAATAAAAATAGGTCAAATTAGACTGAACTTTTTATAAGTATGTTTGATTTTTTTAATAATTTTGAAGTTTGAATCTGATTTATTATCTGTTATAGTTTTTTTTATTATATTTAGTTTGATATTTTTAAAAGCCTATTTGACTTATTAACATTTTTAATAGCCAATTTCGTATTAAGATATTTAATAAGCTATTAAGTTTATTTATAAATAAGCTATCAAACAATATAAATAAAATATCTTTATAAAGGTTATAAAGCTTATATTTAAATAAGTCATAAAAAAATAGTTCAATATCTTAAATATTTGTAATAAACTTACATATTTCTATTTGTCACTTTTAAACCACATATTTGATTTAAATAGTTAAATAACTAAAATACAACAAATATAAAGGTGTGTATAAAATAGAGCAAGTGACAGTAATGCAAAAAACTTAATTTGTTGCATGTAATAGATGCACTCTCTAATTCTAACGAAAAGAATTATAATTTTTAATTTAATATTTTATTCATTTCAAAATTTAATTTATTTAAAATAATATAATATTATAATTTATATAAATTATTTGATTCATTATTATAAATTTTACAAATCTTAAATAGACTATTTTATTAGACTAATAAACTTTTTCTTAAGCTTAAGTTTGACCTATTTAATTAATTAAACTTTGAAAAAAATTTAAATATGTCATGCACAACATGTCTATGATTCTTAGGATGTTAGCTTTCAAGTCCAATTTGCGAAATTTGATTTGGAGCTTATTTCCTCTACTTTCAACTCAAATTTTGTACAATGCTCAGTGTAAAATTATATAAAAATGCACTTTTGGGTTTATATGGAACAACTTTTCTATTTTTTTAACAAAGTCTACACATGAGAAATTGTCCCTAACCTAATTTCTATGTTCTTTTGTATTATCATCATTCTAACAAGCCATCATAAGTTTGTTTTAGACTCCATTTACACCTTCAAAAGACTAGATGAAGTAAGCATCACACTCTTAGATTTTCAACAAGGAAAAATTTGCATAATTGAGTGATGAGACTAATCAACGTGTGAGAATTTATGTGCAGACAATTTCTAGGATCCTTGTGACCTTAACTTTCAAATAAAATTAAAGAGATTTAAGTTTGACTTCATTTCACCAATCTACACCCTGAACCATTGTAAGTACTCCAATTCTAAACTCTGTTACAAAATGACAATATTTCTTGCATTTTCTTGACAAATCTAGTCTTAGTGACTACATTTTTTACTAATTGACATTTTTCCTTGCAATATTAGCTTTCCAAAGAGTCATCCTGAGTTCAATTGGGACAACATATCACTTATTTGCACTCAGTTTGGTAAGTATAACAAAATATGAACACTACACTTGTTAAGACCGAGTGCCTTGTATTGTTGAATATGTTTCCTTTAAGAAGCTATGTATCTATATCCTTGAAAAAGGAACGTGTTAGTAACTCATATGCTTCATTCATAATTTCAAATGCTTGAATTATGAGCCAAATTGTACAAATCATCCAAAAAGAATGATTGTTAGTCACATTAAGAGAGACACAAAGTACAAATCAAATGAGACTAGAAGTGAAACATTTTTTTCCTCACCGAATTGAGTTATCATCTAAGGTGAGGGAAAGATTTCATATGACTCGAGTTAGGAGTTGAGAGAATGAATAGAAATATAGTTGGTAAAAATGTGAATGTTGTGTATAGTTAAAAACTCTTGAGAATTTCTCACTCTCTTGAGTTTATAGATATGTTGTGTTTGAAAATGAGATTGATTTGCTTGCATATGTTGTTATGATGCCTATGTGTGTGTGAAACTATATGATTGAATGCTAAGTTAAGTGAAATTATATGATAAGGCCTAGGCTACTAGACTTAGTGAATATTAAATGGAATGAAAATTGAGTTTTATGACATAGTACTAGGTACGCTGAAACTAATTGAATGAACTAAGCTATAAATTGGCATGTATATTCTATTACTTAAGAAAATCAAATCAAATTATACTAGATAAGAACACCTAGATACTTGATTGTTGATAATTTAGAAAATGATATGATCTCTTAATTAGATTGTTGCTTAGGTAATCCAATGAACTGTTAATCTCCATAACTTTGAGTCATGCTAACTTAATTACCTTAATCCATAGCTTTAATCAAAGAAATAAATTGATAATAAGCATGAATTTGAATAAGTTAATAATATGCTCCAAAAATAGATGAAAACGAAAATATAAATTGAAGTTTCAACAATTTGGTGTTTGATCCTTTAGAAAATTTGATATGGAACAAGAACAAAATGACTTAAGTTGTGTTTGACAAAATATTAGTCATATTAAGTATACTCGTGGATTTAAAAAAATATATAGAGTCTGATCCTAATAAGTGTCTAAATAGAAGAATGAACGAACTACCATTAAGAAACTTAGGCAAACTTAATGTAGGTGATGTTCCATCAATTTATTGAGATTTTTAGAGTATAAAGACATCCAAAACCCTTTGAAAAGTTATTTTGAGTAGTCTTTTTCTTTGTCTTCATTAGTTGTTTATGTTATTGAATTTTCTAATTGTTTTGCTGGAATTACGAGCGCTCAGGTGCTAATCTCCACCGCCCAGGCAGAATTTACTGGTTTTATTTTGTTCTCAGGTAACCTGTAGCCTAGGCGCCCAAATCGCAACGCCTAGGCGCCCACGGATGCTGTCAAGTAAATTTTCATATAAATAGAAGGAAAGAAAAGGATTAGGGCAGAGAAGCAAGGACGAACTCAAGAGAAAACGGAAGAAAAGAGCTTGGAGCTACGAGATAACTTGGGAATAAGAGGAAGAGGAGAGATTGAAGATTCATCTTTCCAATTCTTGGTTTTTTATGGAATTTCCTACAATTTTCTTCTTTGTTCTTCATAGAATGAGTTGCTAAACTCCATAGCTAGGGGAAAGGATTAGGTCTGAGATGGGTGTATTGAGATTGGATTTCTAAGGTTTTGATATTGGATTTCTTGGATTAATTGTTCGTCTTTCGATTATATATGCAAGAATCATGAGTTTTTGTTCATGAGTGGATTAAGGTTCTTATATGATTTGGAAAAATTGTATATGAATTAGCTCAAAAGATGAACTACATGAATTTCAAGGTTTAAGAATATTTCTTGAATTTTGTGTGATATGTGGATTGATTTAGTGCTTCAACTATATTTGTGTTGAGATATAGTCAAGGAATTGTCATATTTTTTCATAAGTAAAGAATGGATTCACCAAGGAATTGGGGTTCATTCACTTGAAATCCTTTCATTAATCTAAGATTTTCAATTCAAGTGTTTAGAAATTCAACACGGATTAAGAAAAACTCAGACCATCCTAACCTCTAGTGTTTTAAATCTTGAGATCACTCTTTACTTGTTGAAGGCAATATTTATTCTATTATAAATCTCTATTTTGTTTTAATTTCAATTGTAGAGCTTTCTTCGATCCAAATAGTTGTTATTGTCTAACTAGAAATTTGATTAATGAAGTATTGTTTGATAAGTCAATCCTTATGGGACGATACCCACTTACCGTGGTATTTACTTAAAACGATTCGGTGCACTTGCCGAGTAGTTATCAAGTTTTTGGCGCCGTTGTCAGAGATTGAATGTTATCAACAATATTAGTAGCTGAGAAAATTTTTAATTTAGACACTTAATTTTGTATAGAAAATAGTTTTTACTTTTATTTTACTTTATTTTTTTCTATTCTATGTAGTTTTCTTTTTGTTATTTGATAACATTGTTCTCATAACTGTTTAGTTTCTTATATGCGAGGTACTATTAATTCAGATTCTCTGTAGTTTGATCCAGAAATTGAGAAGACAGCAAGGAGACTTAGGAAAGAAGCTAAGGCAAGAAAGCAAATAGAAAAGGACGCAGCAATGGCTGAAGAGAATGACAATCAGAATGTCAGGAGAACACTAGGAGAATATGCCACACCTAGTGCTGATGGGTGTAGATCTAGCATTACAAGACCTCCAATTCAAGCTAATAATTTTGAGTTGAAGCCTGCACTCCTACAGTTAATTCAACAAGAACAGTTCGGGGGAGGACCGTTAGATGATCCTAATTTGCACATAGCTAATTTTCTACAACTTTGTGACACTTTCAGAGTTAACGGGGTCAGTTTGGATGCTATTCGACTAAGACTCTTCCCATTTTCACTTAGAGATAAGGCAACAATGTGGCTTCGGTCTCAACCTCAAGGGAGCATTTCTACATGGGATGATTTAGTCAACAAATTTCTTAGGAAATTTTTCCCACCTCAGAAGCTAGTAAAGTTGAGGAATGAAATTAACACCTTCGCTCAGAAGGATGGAGAGTCACTTTATGATGCATGGGAGCGATTCAAGGAGTTGTTGAGAAAATGTCCACATCATGCCCTTCCTGACTGGCTTCAAATTCAGACATTCTATGATGGGTTGGTATCATCTGTTAGATCAATGGTAGATGCAGCCTCTGGAGGATCATTGCATAGTAAAACCTCAGAGGAAGCTCTCCAATTGATTGAGACCATGGCTGCAAATAATTTTATGTCCTCAAATGAGAGGTCAATAGGGAGAAAGGGTATTATGGTGTTAGAGACACTAGATGCCATACTTGCTCAAAACAAGCTTATGTCTCAACAATTGACTAATCTCAACAAATAGTTTGGGCAATTGCAGGTTGGAGCTATAGGTTCTCAACTTTTAGTATGTGACTTTTGTGGTGGTAAACATGAAAATGGAGAATGTGAAGCTGGTACATCAACTCAGTTATTTGTTGAGCAGGTAAATTACATGGGAAATCCTCCAACACAACAAAATAACCCCTTTTCTAACACATATAATCCAGGGTGGAGGAACAATCCTAATTTTTCTTGGAGTAATCAAGGGGCTCAGAAGAATTTTAATGCTCCATTTCAAGCTCCAGTAGCCCACCCACCTACTCAACCAAAACCATCTGCATTGGAAGTTGCTTTAGAAAAGTTATCTCAATCAACAACAAGTTTTGTGCAGCAGACCTCTAGTTTCATGCAAGAAACAAGAGCTAATTTTAAAAATAAAAAAGCTTCAATTAGAAATTTGTAGAGTCAAGTTGGGCAAATTGCAAAACAGTTGGCAGAAAAACCACCAGGAACATTTCCCAGCAATACTGAGCCAAATCTTAAGGAGCATTGTAAGGCAATCACTTTGAGAAGTGGCAAGACATTGGAAGTACAGCCTAAAGAGAGCAAGGAGGAGGAAATTAAGAGTCCTCAAATGGAGGATAAAGTTGAAGTTGAAGATCTTTCATCTGAGATTTCAAATAAATTTCAAGAGCAAGGGAAGCAACAATTTAGTGAGTCTTCCAAAGGAAAGAAGAAAGTTGTAGATTGGGACAAAACTGTTGAATTGTCCCCATATGCTAAAGTTCCTTTTCCACAGAGACTTCAGCAGCAGAATCAAGACAAACAATTTTCTAAGTTTTTGGAAGTGTTTAAAAAATTACAGATTAACATTCCATTTGCTGAAGCCTTGGAGCAAATGCCATTGTATGCCAAGTTTATGAAAGATTTGCTTTCAAGGAAGAGGAAACTGAAGGAAGATGAAACTGTGATGCTTACTGAAGAGTGTAGTGCTATCATTCAAAGGAAATTACCTCAAAAGCTGAAAGACCCAGGTAGCTTCCACATTCCTTACACTATTGGTAGTTTGACCATTGGTAGAGCATTGTGTGACCTTGGGGCTAGCATCAATTTGATGCCATTATCCATCATGCATAAACTGAAAATTAAGGAAGTGAAGTCTACTATGATTTCATTGCAACTAGCTGATCGGTCTATCAAGTTTCCATATGGGATAGTTGAAGATGTGTTAGTCAAAGTTGACAAATTTATTTTCCCTGCGGATTTTGTGGTGTTGGATATGGAAGAGGATTATGAGATGCCCCTAATTCTAGGACGACCATTTCTGGCAACAGGTAGGGCATTGATCGATGTTCAACAAGGAGAGCTTGTATTACGAGTGCATGATGAGAAAGTAATTTTTAATGTGTTTGAAGCCATGAAGCATCCAGTGGAGAAAGAGCATTGCTTGAAAATTGATGTAATTGACCCATTGATAAGAGAAGCTTTTCATAGAGAAGCTTTATCATGTCCTCTTGGAGCAGCTCTAGTGAATTCAAAGATGTCAAGTGATGAGGATAGAGATAAGCCAGAAGTTGTTGAGTGTGTGAAATTGCTGGAAGCTTTGCCACCAATCATGAATTTAAAGGAGAAGGAAGACTTACACTTGATGAAAGAAGTCAAGAAAGAAGAGCCCCCAAAGCTTGAATTGAAGCCTCTGCCTTCAACTCTCAAATATGCATTTCTTGGAGGTAAAAATTCTTATCCTGTGATTATTAGTGCATTCTTGAGTGAATTAGAGGAGGAAAAATTATTAAGAGTGTTGAGAGAACATAAGACTGCTATTGGTTGGACTGTTAGTGACTTGAAAGGGATAAGTCCAACTATGTGTATGCATAAGATTCTATTGGAGGGAGATAGTAAGCCAGTTGTGCAACCCTAGAGAAGGTTAAATCCAACAATGAAAGAGGTGGTTTTAAAAGAAGTGTTGAAATTGTGGGATGCAGGAATTATCTACCCTATTTCTGATAGTTCATGGGTAAGTCCAGTTCAAGTTGTACCTAAGAAGGGTGGCATCACAGTAGTGTCTAATGAAAACAATGAGCTGATACTACAAGGACAGTTATAGGCTGGAGGATGTGCATAGATTACCGCAAGCTGAATGCAGTAACTAGAAAAGATCATTTCCCCTTACCATTCATTGATCAAATGTTGGAAAGGTTAGCTGGGCATGCCTACTATTGTTTCTTGGATGGATATTCAGGTTATAATCAGATTGTGGTGGATCCTGCAGATCAAGAGAAGACGACATTTACTTGTCCATATGGTGTTTTTGCTTATCGGAGAATGCCTTTTGGATTGTGCAATGCACCAGCAACGTTTCAAAGGTGCATGCTTTCTATTTTCTATGATATGGTAGAAAAATTCATTGAGATATTTATGGATGACTTCTCTGTTTTTGGTAGTTCTTATGATGCATGTTTGCATAACTTGTCTTTGGTTTTAAAAAGGTGTCAAGAAACAAACCTTGTTCTTAATTGGGAAAAATGCCATTTTATGGTCACTGAAGGTATTGTTCTAGGCCACCGGATTTCTTTCAAAGGTATTGAGGTAGATAGAGCTAAAGTTGAAATTATTGAAAAATTACCTCCTCTTGTAAATGTTAAGGGCATTAGAAGTTTTTTAGGACATGCTGACTTTTATAGAAGGTTTATAAGAGATTTTTCAAAAATTGCAAAACCATTGTGTAATCTTTTGGTTAAAGATGCACCATTTGTTTTTTTATGAGAATTGCTTGCATGCCTTTGAGACTTTGAAGGAAAAACTACTTTCAGCGCCTATAATTTCTGCACCTGATTGGACTTTGCCATTTGAAGTAATGTGTGATGCTAGTAACTTTGGAATAGTTGCTGTTTTGGGTCAAAGAAAAGATAAGTTGTTGCATGTAATTTATTATGCTGGTCGTGTTTTGAATGATGCACAACGTAATTATGCAACTACTGAAAAGGAGTTACTTGCAGTTGTTTTTGCTTTTGACAAATTTCGGTCATATTTAGTTGGTTCTAAGGTAATTGTTTATACTGATCATTCTGCACTTAAGTATCTTTTGTCTAAGCAGGAAACAAAACCAAGATTGATCAGATGGGTGCTACTATTACAAGAATTTGACTTGGAGTTGAAAGATAAGAAAGGCACAGAAAATTTGGTTGCGGATCATTTGTCTAGGATTGTTCAAGAAGGAGTTCAAAATATGCAGTTGTTACCGATTAAAGAAGAATTTCCTGATAAACAATTGTTTGTTGTGCATGCACTTCCATGGTTTGCTGATATGGCCAATTATAAAGCTGCCAAAGTTTTACCAGAAAGTTTGAGTTGGAATCAAAAGAAGAAGTGTGCTGATGGGATGATTAGAAGGTGCATTCCAGAGGAGGAGGTGCAAGGTGTTTTATGGCATTGTCATGGCTCTGAGTATGGTGGACACTTTGGGGGAGAAAGAACAGCAGCCAAAGTCTTGCAGAGTGGTCTTTATTGGCCCACAATTTTCAAAGATGCCCCGGTCTTTTGTGGAAAAATGTGATAAATGTCAAAGGACTGAAAATTTATCAAGAAGGAATGAGATGCCACAGAACTACATTTTGGAAATGGAGTTGTTTGATGTTTGGGGGATAGACTTCATGGGTCCTTTCCCTTCATCATATTCTAATCAATATATTCTTGTTGCTGTGGATTATGTGTCCAAGTGGGTGGAAGCTATTCCATCACCCACTAATGATGCCAAGGTAGTTGTGAATTTTCTGAGAAAGAACATTTTCACAAGATTTGGAGTTCCAAGAGCACTTATTAGTGATGGAGGGAGTCATTTCTGTAACAAACAAATTGAGGCATTACTATAGAAATATGGAGTCAAGCACAAGATAGCTACCCCATACCATCCTCAAAAAAGTGGTCAAGTTGAGGTGTCTAACAGGGAGTTAAATAGAATTCTTGAAAAGATGGTTGGTGCATCAAGGAAAGATTGGGCAAGGAAAATTGAGGATGCACTTTGGGCTTATAGGACAGCTTTTAAAACTCCTATAGGAATGTCTCCATATCAATTGGTGTTTGGAAAATCCTGCCACTTGCCTGTAGAGTTAGAACATAAGGCTTTTTGGGCAATAAAATTTCTGAATTTTGATGTTAAAGCTGTCAATGAAAAAAGACTTCTCCAACTTAATGAACTTGAGGAATTCCGACACCAAGCTTATGAAAATGCTCGCTTGTACAAGGAAAAAACAAAGAAATTGCATGACAAGAAAATTTCTTTCAAGCTTTTTGAAGCAGGACAACAAGTGTTACTATTTAATTCAAGATTAAAGTTGTTTCCTAGGAAGTTGAAGACAAGATGGTCTGGGCCATTTGTAATAAGCAAGGTTTCTCCGTTTAATGCTGTTGAGTTACTTGAACCAACATCTAGAAGAAAATTCACAGTAAATGGTCATAGGTTGAAGCATTATTTTGGAGGGGAGGTTGATAGGCAGAGGTCAACCTTACCATTATCATGAATAAGTGCAACACGTCAAGCTTATGACGTTAAAAAAGCGCTTTATTGGGAGGCAACCCAATCTTTAGTATCCTTTGTTTTAATTTGTTTTGTTTTTCCTTGTTTTATTTTAGTTAGTTTAGTTCAATTTTTTATTTATTAAAAAAAAAAAATGGCCCAAGTCTTTTTATGGACCGCCCAAGCGCTATCTGCACGAGAAAATTGAAGTGGTCTCAGGGTGTCCAGCGCCTAGGCTTTATTCTTCACCGCTTGAGCTCTT